TTCGATCTGTGTCTCTGTTAGATTGAGAATTCAGCATTTTTAGTCTAGACCTGCAGATAAGTGCGCATGTAGTTGAGCATGTAGTGGAAGTTCCCATTACATTGGATTTATGACTATTTTACTGGTGGTAGGACCTCTTTTGAGTCCGCGCCGGTGGGTACCACCACCCTGCCTATTTTTGCCGTGAAGCAGTATGCGTTTCGGCTTGAAGGGTGGGACAGCAGTTGTAACTATACTTGAGACCTTAGAACTTATATTTCAAGATGGGTGGCGCATTTACATCTTTACGTTGTGGATGTCTACGGGCTCCAATAACCACTTAACACCAGATGGGCTGTGAGCTCGTCCAACCATCTAAGCCATAAAAAATAAAAAATCCGTCGCACCGGAGTAGTTGAGTGCTTTGTGGTTAAATTAGGCAGGACGGTCGCGCCAACCAAAACGGGCTTTTGATTTGGTCTACAAGTGTTGAAAAGGAATGGTTTCGAGTTAAGGAGGTATCTTCGGAATGTGTCATATTACGTAAAGTTCTGCGTCTCTTGGTCTTTTCGCATCAACAGTATTAAACTAACGGTCCCTTAGATTAAGCACATCCCCTACGATCTTCATGCACATAGACAGATATTCTTTGATCCAATTAAAACCTAGCAAACACAAAGCTAAGAATTTCATCTGTATTGTTTTTTAATTCATAATAATTCGGCTGCTCACGTGGCAACTATATTTTTTTATACTCAACTTTGCAGTTTTAATTTTGCACTAGCGACCTGCCCTCGCTTCGCGTCGGAAACATTAAAACACACATGAAACAAACAAAAAAATTAATAAAAAAATTAAAAAAAAGTAGCCTATGTTCATCAGGGACAATGTCGGCTTCTAATGGAAAAAGAATTTTTCAAATCGGTCCAGTAGTTTCGGAGCCTATTCGAAACAAACAAACAAACAAATCTTTCCTCTTTATAATATTAGTATAGACAACGAAAACAAGTAGGAAGGTCCGCGCTAATGGAAGAACAATAAATTTACTTATGCATTTGCGTTAATAAATGAAAACAAACGGTATCTTAGAGATGCACAGCTCCTGAAAAGTGCAATATCAATGAAACGTGTTCATTGGTGGGTCCAAGAGATTTTGTAGGAAACGTTTCTGATATTGAAATTGCATTATGCACAATAATGGACCGTTTGATATAGATTTTACAAAATGAAAACACGAAATGAGTGAGTTGCACAGAGTGGTTGGCTTAACATTTATTTATTTCTGAATCATGATTATTGTAATAGTAACAGACAGCTAGCTATGTATTGTTTTATTAACAAAAGTATCATTGTAGTGTGACAGTTTTTTTACGCTTTTACACGAGTAATCGTATTTTTAGCCCATTCAGAGAAAGAGCGATACAATCTTGCCGGTGTTCGAATCCCGCCAAGGATACCAATTTTTCTAATGAAATAAGTACATAGCTCTTGTTCGTGTCTTATGACGTGTCGTATGGTAGGTACCACCACCCTGCCTATTTCAGACGTGAAGCAGTAATGCGTTTCGGCTTAAAGAGTGGGGTAGCCGCTATAACTATACTGAGACCTTAGAGCCTATATCTCAAGATGGGTGGTGCATTTACGTTGTATATGTCTATGGGCTCCAGTTACCACTTAACACCAGGTAGGCTGTGAGCTCGTCCACCCATCTAAACAATAAAAAAAAATGTCGCGAAGTAGTAATACGTTCCGGTTTGAAGGGCGGGGCAGTCGTTGTAATATTGAATCATGTCTTAGGGTTGGTAGGGTTATTCACGTTGTTGATGTCTGTAGGCCCAATAATATCAGTTTTTTTTTCTTAGACTAGTTCACACTTCTTACTAAAAATCAAAAGAAAACAAAAATATATGGTGCCGTTGCTGCTGGAGCTCATGGGCATCACACTTTCCACGCTACCATCCATCATATATACAATACTACCTAGCACCATTAATAACAATCGCAGTATGCTGGTTACAATATCGCCACCCAACCTGAGTCATGAAATCGAAGCCCCAATTTTATCGTAAAAGCGTATTTATCGTTTTGTCAAACAATGTAATGGTGTAAGAAATTGTAAATTTATTTGCCGTATACAAATCGAATTGCTAACGATGTGTACGTCTGTGTACAAACAACAATAATATAACGATTCACGGACAGTCGACTTCATGAGGAGACTGATGCTTCGTAAAGGGTTTTTCGAGGTATACCCCAAATCTACAAAATCTTGATTACATTTTTCCTTTATTTAAGTGGCCGTGTTCATTCCAAGTTTTACTTTATTAAGAATATAATATGTTGTATATTTTATTGTTGACATTTGGGACGTAATTTAGTTGTATTTGATACTAGCGACCCGCCTTCGCTTCGCTTCGGAAACATTAAATTTTATTATTGATATTGAGTCCCCAGATGTTACCCGCGGTTATTATCGTACAGCGGGTGACGCCGCGGGGCGAAGCTAGTCTAAAAAAGTAGCCTAAGTTACTCTTTATATCATCAGCTACCTATCAGTGAAAGTCCCGTCAAAATAGGTCCAGACGTTCCAGAAATTAGCCGGAACAAACAGACAGACAGACAAAAATTGTAAAAAATGTTATTTTGGTGTATGTACCGTATATATATTCATATGCATGTAGTAAAAAGCGGTTATTTCAATATTACAAACAGACACTCCAATTTTATTTATATGTATAGATGCACTTTTTTATTAAGTCGACAGCAATATCACAAATGCCTGTACGCAAAGTGATTACAAATAAAATTTAAATTATTCCTAGGCTGCATACGAATAAAGAAACAGAAACGGTCGCGCAGGACATAATCTGTTCAAATCCTTTCAGGGAATCGAACAGCGAGCCGAAAGAGCTATTTCCATTCGAAAAATGTTAGCTGTAAAATATCGAATGTGCTCGACTCAAAGCTAAGTAGGTTTTATGTACTTTTACTCTGGTCTGTCGATGCCTTGTTTTTATTGGACTAGACAGGTGGGTAGTCGAGAGATTATGGCCGATTTTGAGTTGTATAGCCTCCGACCGGAATATATAGACACAGTAACGTGTACCATCCTAGAAACATGAGGCCGAAGACTGAATATAGTGCAACGGCTGGCCTACCCTATATGCGAGGACGGCATGCTGATACAATACTCACAGTATACTACTGCCCAATGTGTGGGAATTTAGTTATGATATACAATTCAGATTACAATTCATATACTCCATTAGCGACAAAATCATTTTTAATTGGTTGCCCCAAATTTATTTCAGATTTTTTAAGTTTTAGAGCCGTCGATCCTCGTTCTCACTCTCTTGTAATCGAGAGTTGCATACCCTATTCGCATATTTTAAAAAATATTCTAACTTCAATTAAATACAGGGACGAACTTAGTGTCACAATCTCTTGTTTTACAAGCAAATTCAGGTGTGGGGCCTTTGCTGTGTTTACAGTTTGAATACTTAAGCGATTATAAGAATGAAAACAATTCCAGTGAAATTTGGAGCTCAATTTACAACGCTGCGTGATAAGAGTAAACTTAGGGTCATAGTTCGTAAATTACTTACGCGGTATTCATGTTTAGCGTGCAGTGCAGTGCTGCGAATATTATCCTAAAATTCAGGATAAGAAGAAAATTTATAGATTATTTTAATGAATACATTTATTCCGGGAATACTCGTATTGTCATGCAATTGGACTATGGTTAGATCCCGCGGAAAGTATCTATTTTGTTATTTACTTTTTAATTTTCAATTTGTGATTCGAAATTTGTATTATAAACTGTGTTCAAGAACGATATCCAACAGGATAAAATGAAAAACGCAGTAAAGAAATTTTGGTAATAGCGCTCTTAATGTATTTAAAGTTGATTACTAACATCCAATACGTCGATAGTTAGTAGTTAGTGTCTGCTCTGTAAATCGTCGTCGCCCAAAAGATAAGGCGTCCGGTGCATTTGTATCTTGCGATGCAATGGTTTTGGATCCAGCTGGCTGGTACCAATTTTCCTAATGAAATACGTACCTACTTAACAAATGTTCACAATTGACTTCCACGGTGAAGGAATAACACTGTGTAATAAAAATCAAACCCGCAAAATTATAATTGCGTAATTACTGGTGGTAAAACGTCTTGTGAGTCCGCACGGGTAGGAACTACCCCCCGGTCTATATCTACCGTGAATCAGTAATGCGTTTCGGTTTGAAGGGTGGGGTAGCTGTTGTAACTATACTGAGACCTTAGAAATCATATCTCAAGGTGGGTGGCGGCATTTACGTTTTAGATGTCTATGAGCTTCAGTGACCACCTGGGCGGTGACCTCGTCCACTAATCAATGCAACAATAAAAAAAGAATCCATACCACCATCATGAGTATTAAAAATGCCAAAAGCATTTTCGGTTCAAAAGATAAGACAGCTGAAGACTTCAATCTCGTTTTTCTAGATGGACGGTGGTATTCACTTTGAGGTTTGGATGGGCTTAATCATCGAATACCGAATGGATAGTCATTAGTTAGTTTCTTGTAAACAAACTACATATTTTAATAATTGTCCAGTGCTGGTCTAATTATAGTATACCTATATTTTTTTGCCTTCATATGTTGATAGCCTTGAGAGGCTATTTCAGCTTCGCCCTAACGTGTAGGTGAGCTCACAGGGCTCAAACCGGGAGCGTTTGCTAATACTGGCCCTAGCAAAAGCAGTGCTTCGCAGAATCTACCACCGGATCGGAAACGCGACCCACTGAGAAGATCCGATGAGAAACTCAGTGGGCTGTGCCTATGGGTTCAATACAGTATCATAAAGTATACAAACGCTTCGACTATAGTTTGGTAGTAAGTAGGTAAGTACGTGCTGTGCGTGGATACCGTACTAGCATGAAGCAGGTGTGTGAGGGCGGCGCGGGAGCTGTCAGTCACTGACTGTCAATGTCTCCCCGTTGCTGCGTCTCGCTAGAGTCAGTCAGTCGAGTGCGAGCTGCGAGTCGCGACGTGCGTAGCGCCTGCGCACGGTACCCGAGCGCCCGATGTGCGGAGAGGGGCGCGGTGCCGGCGGGACCGGTCGCACGCCGACCTGCCGACCTTACCTACCGTTCACCACACGCACCTAGACTCCACAACTAAACTGTGCATCAACAAACATACGAAAGTGTTTCGTGATCGCAATGGACATTACGGACAAATGCATCCGATTCCCGCAATTGGAAACTGCATTCGCGACGTGAATCATGTACGTACATATGTGTTCTACGGCTAGTGTCCATCGGCGCGTTGTTGACATGCGCATATTAATAACTGTTTAGATCGCGACGAAAAAACTAAGACTCGGCCTGCCCGAACGGCGCGGAGTTGTCAGTCGACAGTGACGGATCCAGTGATGAGGTCGGGGGTCGTAGTTATAAGAAAATCATAATATTATATCTTTGTGTCGCTACCAATTGTTAGTTATCGTTAAATCGCTTCGTCATTGGGCCAACGAGCCCTGATAAAACTCGAACTACTCATCATAATTTACCTCATTTTTTAATTAATCGACAATCAAACGAGCCTGTATTATTTACAATCGTTGTAACAACACATCTACTGAAATATATACAACACTTTTCAACGTATATCTGTAAGCACTTTACATCCATTGCAATGGACAATAGTGAATAACAACTGTTCACATTCATCAGAAGTTGGGCCTGAACACCAATAGTTATTCAGCTGAACAATCTTTGGACCCACTTAGTCAGAGTTATCTCCTTCGTAAGCTTTCTCCCGTTGCTAACATCTCCAAAAGTCTAGAAGAACATTGGCTCCCAGGTAGGGTTCGAGAGTAAATTCAGTGTCTCTTTGGGGACCACGACTGAGATGCTCTCAGGATTGAAATTAGCAACACACAATTACTATTAACTAATAATTGTATTTAATTTAAACAAAAACACAAATGCGTTAGGTAAATACTGACATTGAACTTATTTTCGTCTTGAGAGAACCATAGAAACAAAACGAAATTACCGTCGTTGCGAAAATGGAAGCAAATAAACCGCCAACTATTTCTGTTACACTCGTTACCGTCTGTCGCGTTCACAATGCACTATAAATGTAATAAATATTTGCGTACAACTTCGTAAAGCATCTACACGATTTTATTCATTTACATATATATAATGAACTTAAACGATTTGTACTTAATTATTTTGTACGGCATAACGCAATATACAGTTCTAGACAGACTGAACCCACCCATTTTGAGGCACAAGTTTGAAATCTCAATATCTGCTGTCACACCATACGAATTAGATCTAGAAGTTCGCGCTAGAAATAGGCAGGAATTATTTTTTTTGGGATCGATTACTGACTGCCGAATTTTGAGGGATTTAATTGACAGTGTTGGTGGTAGGGTCTCTCGAGTCCGCACGGGAAGATACACCGACCTGCCTATTTCAGACGTGAAGCAGTAATGCGTTTCGGTTTGAAGGGTGGGGCAGCCGTTGTAACTATACTGAGACCTTAGAACTAATATCTCAAGATGGGTGGCACATTTACGTTGTAGACGTCTATGGGCTCTAGTAACCACTTAACACCAGGTGGGCTGTGAGCTCGTCCACCCATATTAGCAATAAAAAAGTATCTTTATTTCGAAATAAATACTTTGAGAATCACGCCGCCACGCTGTTAAGTTGTGTACAAATTATTTGTGCTTGTTTAATTTATCTACTATTAGATAATGTACTTGTAAATTATGTTTGTATTGATTAAGGGCAATTGTGCTTGAATAAGTGAGTACACATTTACTTCTATAGTGTTTGTATTTAAATTTTATAGTACAAAAGTATTATTTAAGTAAAGATAAATTAAAAATAAGGTGTTCTTGAACTGTGAACCTGCTTAATAACATCCTGGAAAGATTATATCAACTTAAAATCATTACTATACTAAATAATTGTGAACGCCATTCCAAAAAAGGATAACAAATCAAATGACTTCATTGCAAAATAAATGCAAGCTATTGAGAGTTCAGATCAGGTATAGTTCAGTTCATTAGGTAAATTTGAGAAATCTTAAACTATATTTTAAAGTCATTTACTTTTAGAAAATATTCCTTAATTATAAAATTCTAACCTTAGTGTACATAATTAGACAATTAGGCAAATACTCTTTTTAAATTCTCTTTGTAACAAAGGGATCTCGATACACCGTTCGAATCAAACTTCATAAGCAACTAAACTAACCAAAAAACACACACACAATATAGTAGATAGACCGTACTATCATGAGTTTAGTTAAAATGAAACTCGTTCGTCCCCCTAAGCTTATAACAAGCAGAAGTTACGCCTTTAAAATTACGTCCATTTTACATAGAACCATGAACACATTGCCAAAAAAAAATTACGATGCTTATTTATCCTTTGTGTTGATTCTTGGCATCCTTATTGTAGTACACTGACACACAGCTATTGGTTTACAATCTTCATCAGCTCGCCAATAAGAAGGCAAGGATAAGGTTTACGGGCCACGGCCTACGGACAGATGCGTCAAAGGTGCATGCAACGTATTATCAATATTTGCGTATGTCTTGCCATCTCGCTAAATAAACATAAATTTATTATTATCACCTGCCTTCAAAGCTTTAAACCGTAAAAAATAAAAAATAACAATCTCAATCTGGTATTGTTCTAATAAAATTCATAAATGTAACGCTTGACCTATTTACAAACAACTTCGGAAAATCAATTAATTTTTTTTGGATTTGTAATGTCGTTTTAAAACGCACTTTTTAAAACAACAATTTCTAATCTGTCAAAAGTACTTTCATTAAAATAATATTAGCAATAAATAAGATATTATCATGCTAAATTGTGATGCGAAATACTAAATCGTATGTCTCGCTTATAGTGAGTATACGAGTAATAAAGTGAGTTCGTGGTATTAAACAGAATATTAATTGAAAAGTCGTTAAAAATTAACTTTCAACTATTCATTAAATATAGCGTGATGTTTTACAGATCTAGGTAAAAGTACTTACTGTTCTAAAACAAACGATTAAAATTGTAATTTTTTCAGGTTGGACCAAAACTCTTGTGGCACCGGGACACGCAGAAGGCACCAGCGGGTTCGTCGGTACCATGGCACAGGCGGCAGGCTCGCCGCCAAACACGCAGAATCTCAACAAACGCCAGCGTCTCTCGCGTCTCCTCGACAAACTAAGTGTGCAGTTGCAAAACAATAATTTGTATCCACCAACACAACATTGGCCAGCGCTGAACCCACCATTCCAAAACAATAAGCCACCTGCAGATGAGCCTTTAGATCTCTCGGTTAAGCACGAGCAGCCATCGCCGGCCCCCGAGATAACGTATACATGCGAAACTTGCGGCCAAACCTTCACCATGCACGACCGCCTCGCCAAACATATTGCTTCTCGACACAGGAATCGCACTCCGGAGGCGGCGCGGCTATATGAATGCGAGGTATGCCTGAGACGGTTTGCTCGCTCGGACATGCTGACCCGGCACGCTCGTCTGCACAGCGGCCTCAAGCCGTACTCGTGCTCTGCCTGCGGTCAGGTGTTCTCCCGCTCGGATCACCTCGCAACCCACCAGCGCACACACACAGGAGAAAAGCCCTACCGGTGCCCGTCCTGCCCATACGCTGCTTGCCGCCGCGACATGATCACTCGCCACATGAGGACGCACTCAAGGCGACCGCAGCCTGCTTAAGCCAGACTTTTTCGGCAACTTTTTATAATTTCCTATAGGTGTTATTTTAATCAGATCCCTTATTATTATTATCATTATTGTTTTTGGAGACTGAATGATTCATTCCAAAGTTAAAGTATCTTGTTTGTTTTTGATTGGTGTTTAATAAGTATTGTGTGTGTTCAAGAGACCCCGGCTTCTAACCAGTAGCTGACCAGATGATTTTGGTAAGAACGACACATCACATTGCACTATTGAGAATTGCACAGTTAATTTGACTAAGATTACGTTGCTGCCTTGCGATTTTTTTTTTGGCCCAGCGATGTCAAATAAACTGCACAGCGCAATGCGATCTGTCGTCGGTGTTTTTGTAGAGACTTTTGTTGTACCTATTTTTTGTTTTGTTGCTTTTTTATTTTCATCGATATTGGCTTGGGAACCAATTATGAAGAGGTCATTCCTGCTCTTCTATGATTTGTTGTAATCATTTAACTCAGTACGTGTGCCATTGAGTTTACGAATGTTAATTGTTTTTGTAAATACCTATTTGTACTTATACCTATAGTTGTATATACATAGTTTTTAAACATAGTTTATGTTTTTGTTTAATCATAGAATAAGCTTGCAGGCTCTTTGTTTATCGCCTAAAAATATTAAACGAAAAAAAAAAAACTCTTAGGACTATAAGACGTGCTGAGCTTGACTTTACTTGTTATGGTCATTTAATGATTTCTTATTTAATTAGTATCGGGAAAGTAATTGTTGCTTATGTTATAAATAATCATTTTTATATCATTATCTAGGTATAGTTAAGTACTTAAAATACATTTTATGGAATAAGCCTCACTCACAGGCAGGCCATTCTTTTCACATTGTTTTCTATGTTATTTCTATTTCTGAGTGCCAAAACGTTTTGTTTAAACTCGTGAATATTATTGTTAAATACTACTTCCATATAATAGTATTTTCGTGATGAAGAGTAATTTAGTTCTGTAAGTGTAATTATTCAAATATTTAGTAAATGAACATCATACCTGTTAGATGAAGGTTTTTCAATCTCTTTTAAATTAACTCAGGTGTACAATAACTACCTACTTATTATACGACTTACTATGCCATGAGGAACATGATTATGTAGGTAGTTAATTTCTATTTGTACTTATAACTCTATACTAACTCTTACTTATAAGAGCTGCATACCAGCAAAATCTTTACATCCTACATAAAGACCAGTCCAGATGTGCTTTAAGCTCCTTCTGGAATGAGCTTCTAAAGCGGAATTCATAGAATTACTTACATACAGGATATAACTTTCATGTTTTTTTGCAAAATATGAGAAAAATACAAAACTATATGTAAATACGTCGTTAATGAATAAAATATCACCACTAATTTAGGACGTAAATAATGACTTTTATAAAAATTACAGATATAAATTTTACTTTTGGCGGGCTGTCGAGTAAGTTTGAGAGTGTTTGACGCTGTTCTATTTATTTAATGCCAATCGTCAAAAACATATTATTATCTTATAAAAATTTCACAAGAGACTTAATACCAAAAAATCCAAAGACCGAAAGTTAAAGTTTTTATTTGGAAACCAAAGTTAATGGCTATATAATTAGGAAATCAAAACTAATCTTTATTAATATTAGTTTACATAATCAACGGAACACAATGAAATTAAGTAGAGTCTGAAAAAAAACTCACTCGTGTCATTCTTTTGAATTGTTTTTTTTGTAATGTTCACATAGAATTGTTTATAACAACATTGTAGTATACATATAGACTTTTCAATGTTCGGAGTCTGGTAACGTTAAAGTTGATCTTCGTTGCCAGAATCGATTTTTCAAGACAGATCATTTTTATACCGCCTTCATAGGTATACGGCTGGCTTGGAAGTTGCTGGTTACCAACGGGCATGGACATCAACAATGTCCTAGGCACAAAAACAAAGCCACTGTCTACCTACCTATCTATATATCTGGCGGAAATGTTTTCCATTTTTTTTTATTCTGTCACCAGTGTTCTCGTCTGGATGTCTGCTACATACATACAGACGAATATGAAAGACCGCTCGTCATTTAACGTAAGAGTGTAAATAGTAGTTGTATAAATTAAGTCTAGTAGGTTTTAGGATAAGTGTAATAGATTGATAAAGTACCTATGCTTGTTTACACGACTGGCTCTCTTCACTTGTTTAACGTGTTTTTGTTTTAAACGCAATTTTCCCTCAACTTCCAAATTCAGTTTAATAAGGTTTTCACTTTTTTTTCGACGTGGTCAATCGAATAAATATGTTACGTATCTATTACGCAGTTGTAGTACTCCTTTTATGGTGCACCTCATTACTAGCCTGCAACGAAAATATTTTTTTCTAATGTTTAAATTTCAAAGCAATCCAACGACCAAACCTAGTGCAAGTGCGAGCTCAAAGTGCTTCAAAAATGTTACGTCTTTTGACGGAGCGAATCGAAGTCTTGAATCACTGCACAATATTAGCCAAGCTTATTGCATTCCTACATGATCGGCCAATCGAACTAGCTCCTGTATCGTCCTGTCTTACAAAATTTTACCAATTGTATAATATTTAACATTCTGACCAGATATTAAATCTACTACATATATATCTAGATATACATAATAATAACTTCATTACTTGAAACAATCTGATAAGTTTCATATTTTTTAAACGTATGAATAGTGATTAAATAATTAGTTATACTGTTATAAAAATATATAGACTGCTCTCAATTAATAATACAATTTGGTTCATTCAATTTGGTTCAAAGATTTCATCTTTTATAAGATACTCCTGTTATGATGAAGCATTTATATCGCATTTTAATTTTGTACACAGCTTTAGAAAAATAGGTACATAGGGGTTTGAGATAAGTTAAGTCTACTCGTATTAGCGTATAAGCTAGTAATGTTCATGATTCATTCATCATTCAATGATTCTCGCTCGTCGATAGCCGAAAACTGGATGACACTTCTGAATATCTGTGTTTTAGCGAACGCGCAATTTATCTCAAACTTTGGCAACACATCAAATTATAAGTAAGTATTATCATTTAAATCGGCAAATTTGCGAAGTGTATAGGCCTAGATCACCTTATTAACTATTGGGAAAAAGAGTTTTTTTTAAAAACACAGATCAACTCATTATCGATATTATTATGTGTATTAAATCCTTTAAGAATATAAATCGTAGGTAGATTCGATGATACTATAATTAATTTAGTTTAGTAAGTAATGTTCTTAGCGGAGTGTTATGCTTTATATAAAAATACTATAATCAAATTTTAATGTTTTGATTTTATAATAAGGAGACGTCTGAGTATATTCATTCGTATTTTTCGATGTAGGTAAGTAAGTAGTAGGTACTTCAGGTCTTAAGGATCTCAGTGAGTCAGAAGGATAAGTTTTAAATCAATGTTGTGTATTGTTAATTCGTAATTATAACCTATACTAATAATAGTTGTTTGGAAGTAAAACCATTAGAGGCTACTACGAAAAGTTGTCTGTTTTAGTTATCCAAGTTAACGTTTTCATTTAATTGTCAAACAAGTGCCAGCATTGACTCGAAAACTCGAAAATCGTTTGTCTACTGCTGCACTGCTATGATTTTATTCGCGTATGTTTATAATTTGCAATGTTTAAGCTGTCATATTTTAGTTGTCAATAAACGTTTTTATTGTCTTTTATCTACTTCATTTTCATACACTCGTTCATTTCAGAAAATGTTGTATCAGCGTCATAATGTTTTTTACTGCGTTCTGAGGACACAGAGTCCCATAGCATTCAACATTAAGGCAACTCACAACCCACAAAGTATCCACACAATTATAAATGAGCAGACCATTTCAAAATTGTTCAGGTTTTATATACTGTTTGAGTTATTGTTTCATAGTTTATATGAGGAATGGTTCATAATCTCTTTTTATCACATATCACACGCCACTGCTCTCTGGCTCTGGAATCAACTCTCGTTAACAGTAAACAGTCATCATCGTACCTACGTTGGCAATAAAACAATAAAAGATGCCCGTTAAATACTGCTTTTCTTTTCTTCAGAAAATAATAATCGATAAAATCATATTTTTTTTAAGAAACTACAGTTTTGTAACGTTTCAAAACTGTTTGACCAAGCATAGTTGTTACACGAAAACATTATGCTTTTTGGTCCTATAACTTTTTTGCTATTATTTTTCTTAAGGATATTATTGCTAAACAATTAATCAGAATATAATGTATGTTTCGAAATTTTACAACGATTTTATAATTCGGATAATCTCTAAATTTAATTTTGATTAAATATTGATGATATTTAATTAGTTTTTATCTAATTGTGTTACACTAGACATCAATCTTCGCACATTCGCATTCTTGCTGCACACTTTCGTAGTCATTACTCTGACAATACGACAAATCCTGAATTGTAAATCTTTTCCGTGGTGGTGACAAAACCGTATATGTACAAATATTTTCTTCCATCACCTTGAATCGAGATCAAAGTCTAGATCGTATTACTATATAGAACAGTTGGCCCCTTCCATCTAACCAGAACGCATTAGTACCCAGCACAGCAGAAATAAGAACAGGGGTGATTTACAATTTTACAGAACTATTTTTTATATACTATTTTATATATGACGGTCATTGTCCTATATTTAGTTTGTCCTGCAGGGAAATGAAACACTTTCAATTTCCTTGTTTGATTTTAACCCTTTTCTTGTTAGTGTATCTGTAGAGATACACCAGAATTAAAAAAATCTAGTGTTATTATTTTTAAGCGAAACCATGATATGTTTTTAAGAATATTTAGGCCATTTCTTAGTTTCGGAACGCAACTTAAGTTTTTTGTGTTGGTAAGACTGATCAGCTGTCAAACTTCACTTTAGTTCAAGTTCCGACATGTTGCCTCGCAAAAAGGTAAGAAAAGTTATGATTTTTTCTTGTTTTTATGTATTTAATGAGTGGATGTGTTAAGTTATTAATTATAGATATATTTAACACTAAAATAACTACTTTGGACATTCTTTAATTGTCTGGTTGATGCTTCATGTGACTTTTTTAATGAATGTATCTCCTCGTGCACATTGCCAAGAAACTAACAATTCTATATATATTTGATATGTATCTCATGGTACACACTGCTAGCTTTACTAACAACTTTTACAAAATCGTCATGTATCTGTATGTGCACACTGCCAAGCTGAATAACTGTTCATATGGCTATGCATGGCTTATTTTATATATTAATTGTAGGTCCATATGCTTTCAAGAGCTAGCAAAATACTCGCATTGGTGCCAAAACACAGTCAGTCATCAAATGATGAAGAAAGTTCGGATTCTAGTAGTGAAGTCGAGAATTTTAATCTTCAAAAACGCGATAGTACTGAATCTTCATCTGCTCCTTCGCTTCCTTCTTCTCTTGAAAATCTTCACATACTTTCTGACGATGAAAACAACCTCACTTCCTGCCCTACAGTATCAATGAAACCAGCGTCTGAAAGTATTTCTTTGGATTCTTCAACTCAAGATTCTCTTCACTCGGTCATACCTCCTTCACCAACTGCCATTGTAAATGTTATTCGAAATAAAAAGCCTAGATTTAACCGAATAGTGCCTGAAACACCAGAGTCATCGCCAGCAATAGTAGCAGCCTCACCATCGCCGTCAAATATAAATACACGCTCAAAACAGCCACGGCTAGCTGTAAGGCGCCTTGCACCTATACAAAGAAAGCAACTGAAATTCCATTGGAATAACAAGAAATTTGAACATAACGCCGAAATACACGATAAACAGTTACCTTCAGATACCATAAAAACACCACTAGAATATTTTCAATACTTCTTTGATGATGGCATCCTTAACATGATTACAGAGCAAAGCAATTTATACTCAACTCAAACAATTGGTCGTTCTCTTAATTTTTCAACACAAGACATCAAAGATTTTATTGCAATAAATTTGATAATGGGAATCGTGAATATGCCGGCCTACACTGACTATTGGTGTCAGGAATTCAGATTTTCACAAATAGCTGATGTAATACAAAATAAAACACTAAAAACACTAAAAAAACTAAACACTAAAAAAATTTCAACAGATACGACGGTACATCCACTTCAACGACAATCTGCTTGATGACGGTGATCGGTATTTTAAAGTTAGGCCACTCATTGAAAAAGTACGTGCCAACTTTTTGAGAGTTCCTCATGAAACCAGGTTCAGCATTGATGAAATGATGGTGCCATATAAGGGCAAAAAAGCCGGTAATCGAAAACAATACATAAAGAACAAGCCTCGCAAATGAGATGTTAGAGCTGGCGTTTCGGGCTTCATTTATGATTTTCTCGTATATGGAGGTGAAGACACTTTCAGATACCACCTATTTTCACCAGAAGAAATGAGTTTGGGCTTTGGGGCAAAAGTCGTCTTCCTGATCCAGCATGTTCAGTTGTGTACTTTGACAATTTTTTCACCAGTCTAGAGCTAATACATATGCTCCGATATAATATGGGTATATTCTCCTTAGGCACCATAAGGTCAAATAGACTACGTGGTGCAGAACAAAAGCTTATACCTGATAAAGCCCTCAAAAAAAAAGGCCGCGGATCTTATTCACGAGTAGTATGCAATACAAACAAAGTCTGTATTGTCAAATGGCATGACAACAAAGTGGTTACTGTGGCAAGCAGTTATGTTTCTGAAACTCCTGTTGGAGTTATACAACGTTACAATAAGGATTTAAAACAGAGAGCTGCTGTCCCCTGTCCCAATATAATAAAGCACTACAACGCACATATGGGAGGAGTCGACCTTGCAGATATGTTAGTGGCTTTGTACAGAACGGAGATGAAAAGCCACCGATGGTACTTACCGATATTTTCTCAAATGTTAGATATGTGCGTGAACAATAGCTGGATTTTGTATCGTAGACATATTGGCGTGAATAACATAAAACGACTGAGTTTAAAGAAGTTTCGACATCAAATTATACAAGGGCTCTTACATTCTGGGAGACAGCAGCCATTCAAAAACTATGATTCTGTACCACCAGCACCAAAAAAGATTATAAAAACACCCTGTACCGTAAGGCCAACTGCGGACGTTAAATATGATGGATACAATCATTTCCCTACTTTTGGGACCAAAGGACGATGCAAACTATGTATCAAAGGTCAGACTACTGTTATGTGCATCAAATGTGGTATGAGGCTGTGTCTTTTACCGGATCGGAACTGTTTTTTCAATTTCCATAATATGAATGTCTAAAATTAATCTGATTTTGTATTTTTTCATTGAAGTTCCATTTTTGTTATTAAATAAATAGTACAAACTACTGATTATTAACGTGTTTTTTATATTTATTTTCATATAAATTATTATATAATCAAGTCATAGATAATTTGGCAATGTATCTGTAGAGATACATTGATAGCGTAATATATTTATCAATGCCCTTGGCAATGTATCCCACAAGATACGGGTGGTTTTTTTAAAGGGGTAGTTTAAATATTTTTTTTAATATTTTTTCTAGACCCCTTGGGTCATTAAAGTTAAGTGCTATGAATATTATTTTTATATTCGAAAAAATAAAATTCTGCCAAGCTAAGGGTTAAGAACACATTTCATCGTGGAAGTTGTTCGAGAACTTTTGGTCAGCACTAATTTCGAAGAACGCGTGCTGTGTAGCGACTTGAATGTATCTAGTTAGACACGAATACACCGGGCGTCTTATATTTTTCTTAAGAAGGAAGGATTACTGGTGGCCCGACGGCCTTTCCAGTTTCACAAGGACAGCTTGGCGAGCACGGGCTCAGACAGGAGGGATGGGATTTGCTAAAAGCTACCTAAACGCCTCCAAAGGGAACCTAACAACTAAAGAGCAGCTGCTTCGCGAATGAACCTACTATCAGATAGGAATTGCGACCCGCTGAGAAGATCCGACGAGAAACTCAGCGGGCTGACGCACGGATTGGTTTGCAAGTCGAACTCTTTGCCGAGATCGACGAGTACGGTTACTAGAATGCCCACGACTGCTCCTAGTGTTAGAGCCGAAGACATGTAATGCAACAGTACTAGGATTTGATGGATCTTTAAGGACGTATATAGGGCGTCAACGGTGACTGGTTCCTGCTTGATCAGGATTCGGAGAGTAGTCAGTGGCGGCAACGATAAGGTGATTATCATGACCGCATCTTATCATTTAAGCCAAGATGGTTTCAATTTTAAAGGGGTCTGCCCGTTATTCATTGACTATAATTTAATAATAAATTTAACTCCTTTATAGACAAGCTATCCATACTAAAATATATAGGTATGTAGGTATATCATAAAAAGTGTACAATAAGTATAATTTCAAGAAAAATGTTAATGAAGCTCATTTTGTCAAATTATCTACTTAGTTTATTATCTACTTACGCGAATTATGATTAAGTTTGTGTGTTACATCTAAGTCGATTTTATTAATTGCTTTAGGCAAGTAAAATAAAAGTATTTCAAAACGGACTTAGTTCGATTATGGTATATATTATTACAATAATATCACTTGCAGGTACATTTAATATGTTTTTATTAAAAACTTGCTTGAGTACATGTCCAGTTTTTTTTCTAATTTACCTTGTGTTTGTCAGAAGCAAATAAAAATGTTTCCCAATATTGTTTCAAGAGCTGTGATATTATAGCTTTTTATTAAAATTTCATAACAACCTGTATTCATGTTTCTGTTCAATAAATGACTTTAAATGTGTAATTTTTTTAATTTTTTTATTCCTAATTCCCTATTCTTGAATCATTGTATTTCAAGAATACAGAAAATAGTCTAGAACAATTACAATACCTTGCCTTTACCACCTTCACTAACATTACGTACATGTGTTGAACTCACAGTGCAAATTCCTCATACAAGTGTATCGGCGTGGAGTCAGAAGTATAATTTTCTTTTATTTATTTATTGCTTTCATGGTTGAACGAAATAATCACTTACCTTACCCTGTGGTAGTTACCTGCAGATATGAGGTTGAAGTCTCAATATATGGTATAAATTGAATACAAATTGTTTTTTTTCAATGCTTAGTTTGGGTGGACGAGCTCACGACCCACCTGATTTTAAGTGGTTACCGGAGCCCATAGACATCTACAAAGTAAATGCCGACACCCACCTTGAGATATGTGTTCTAAGGTCTCAGTATAGTTACAACGGCTGCCCCATCCTTCAAACCGAAAAGCATTACTGCTTCACGGCAGAAATAGGCGGGCTGGTGGTACCTACCCGTGCGGACCCACAAGAGTTCCTACCACCAGTAAAAGGTTTCCAAATTGGTTATTAAAATCACCTCATGAATGCATCATCACCAGGCTTATGCTTGACAAGGAGGTATGCTAAGATACGTACTTTACAAAATCTGGGAGTCTTGCGTGGAATATTGGTCCAATCACTTGACCACTGACAGAAGGTGGCCATTGTCAATAATCCAATTCTAGCGGAACGTTTGATACGTTTGGGTCGTCCTATGAACTTATATTGATACTTTTATTTTAAATCTATACACAAAAAAACATTGGTTTCGGTTAAAAACAAAATCATCATTAATCTTCTGAGCATCGCTTAAAAGTACCTTGAGATAGATACTCTAAAGTGGATACATAAAAATTTGTGTCATCAGCATATTGGATGCTGTCGATTCTGACACCGTTCATGACCAAACCCACATCTACAATATTCAGTGCATTCATAAAAGGTACTCAAAGTAGATGTTGAAGAGTACAGGCGAAAGAGAGTAAAAAAAAAATTATGTAAAGGTCAAAATGTTGGGCAGTGATACTCAGCCACTTACTCGCTGTATTTGTAGACGACATTTTAAGCTATATTTTGGAACAGAGACTATAATATTTGAATGTTTTTACGTAATCGATGAAACAACCAAAAATATTGTGACTCATAATTCAGCACCTTTAGGTAGGTACGTGCCTTATCCATTACGAAAATCAAAATAGGTATTGGATTATTTTAAGAAGAACTCCAACTTGGGACACAGTATTTGTGTGAACATTCTTCGTTCTGTGCTCCCTATATTCTTTCGCTAATACGACTTTGGTTAGAGTTTTTAAGGTCGTTTTCAGCCAATCGAACCCGTTTCAAATTTGGTATTAAATGGCAATATTAAATTTTCTTAAGTTATTACATTCAATGCTACTTCAGAAGTTCTTAAGGTATGTTCATTAAGACTAACGACTTTACTTTTTTTAGGAGTTTCAATTGCACCAGGCAGTTCATTTTCCGTTCTATTAAATGTGATCTGGAAGCAGAGTCTAGACTAGTCTAGAGTCTCGAAGGATAATACATGTTTGTAACCCTTGTTTGCCCAATTGATTCATTATTAATATGATTAATAATCAGATTATTGTCAAACATCACACAATCCGGTCTTAAATATGGATATAAATGTATTTAAAGTAACCGTGCTCGAAGATGAAAAGAAGATAATTTTGTACTTTGACTTATTCTTTACTTAGTAGAGTACTATTTTATCCTCATTTAGCAATTTAAAGCGAAAACTGCGCCTGAGATTATAGCACGACCGTTAATTTTAAATTGTTATTGTGGGCAATTTTCTAACATTGGTAAAAAGATCGATTTCAGTTTTGAAATGTTGTAGCGTCAAAATCTCCAGCCACGGCATCTGTTTTCCTATTCAACTTTAATTCCAATGTACCTTGTATCAGATATGATCGTCTTAGACCTATTTCTACATGCATTTATACCTAGTATTCAAATTGTTAAAAATCTGTTGTAATGAATAAGTTAAACAGTTTCCCGCCCGGCAACCGCACTCTTCGAACTCAGCAAAGAGTTCGAAATGCAACCTAACCTCATGTCAAGGACAAGCTGTTAAAGCCTTTCAAGACTATCAGTATAAGTAGGAAAAAAATTCAAGTCGCGATTCCGATCCTGTACCTAAATCATTCGCGAAGCAGCTAAAAACCTATTTAGGTCTCCTTTGGAGGCGCTCGGGCAGCTGTTAGCAAATCCCAGCCCTCCTGGCTGAACCTTTGCTCACCCACCTGCCCTGGTGAAACCGGAGGGGCCTCCAGGCCTTATCCATAAAAAAAGTTAGCTAATAGTTATATAAATTAGAAAATTGCTATGAATGTAGTTTTGTTTATTACTTTTTTAACTTTGTATTACCTACTCATTATTTTGTCCTCTATTTTAAATAGAGGGAAGAAAAAATGTATTGTAAGTAGGTAGGTAACATGTTAGGTAAGTAACAACAATGTTTTGTAATTTTTAATTCAATTCTTTTTTTTTTATTGCCCTTGTAGGCAGACGAGTATACGGCCCACCTGATGGTGAGTGGTTACCGTCGCCCATGGACTTCAGCAATGCCAGGGGCAGAGCCAAGCCGCTGCCTACCGCTTAATACTCTCCACAAGCCTCGTTTGAAGAAGGACATGTCATAGCGCTCGGGAAACACCGTGGAGGGGAGCTCATTCCATAGCCGGATGGTACGTGGAAAAAAAGATCTCTGGAAACGTACTGTGGATGACCGCAGTGGCTCCAGGTAGTATGGATGAACTCTACTCCGGTAGCGGGCAGTGCGATGGTAAAAACGAGCTGCCGGTATCATCTCGAATAATTCTTCAGAGCACTCCCCATGGAATATACGGTACAAAATACAGAGGGATCCGAAGTCCCTCCGCAGACCCAGAGGATCCAAACGATCCGTGAGAATGGGATTATCGACAATCCGAACGGCCCTCCTCTGTATGGAGTCAAATGGAAGAAGCTGGTATTTGGGAGCCCCGACCCAGAGATGGGAGCAGTACTCCACGCGAGGCCGGACTTGTGCTTTATAAAGCAAAAGCCTTTGTCCTGACATTTCGTTTTTTACGGATTCAAAGGCAGACATAAATAATAACCTGATTGTGAGCGACCACAATCATTCATGCATTTTAGAAATCCAGGCGCACGCACGTCCATCTAAAATCACAGCTGTTGCCTACTGTAAAGGAGTCTTTTTTTTAAAGTTGTTAATAAAATTAATAACAAAATCACATCAATAAAATAGGTAAGTCTATCTATGTTTCCATTTTACAGCCTCCCTGCCTATTCTACCATAGATAAACCATTTAATTATTATCTTTAGACGATCCTAGGATATCCTGGTACCATCTCAGACACATGCCTGGGTATAAAAGAATTAACAAGAACTATTATAAAAATATTTTTAAAACTACCACATCATTAGCATTTTAGTACCTGGTATAGTCGACTAACTCACAAGTCGCAGCGCTGCCGCGCTGCCCAGCTATTATGGATTACAAACCTATTTTCTGGGCTGGTCACACTGCGGTTTGTCACTGCTGTCTTGCGTAGTTCGTTCGTCCGCCATTTCGGCGTCACTATCGCATTTCAGAATTGATTGAAACGCCCTCATTGAGGGAAATTAGAAGCTCCATTGTTGGATTCACATCAGGTACTTTCATGAAATAATTTAATTCAAATTTTCAAATTACCGTGGTTTTTATACTCAATATTATTTATACAACTAAAAAACCTACATATTAACAGACACGTGGTGCAGTGAAGTCCAAAAGTGTTGAAATTTTCCGTGAAATCAAAAGATAACTGACGACATGAAGTGTCACTCCAGCGCCTCCTGTGAATTTCAACAATAGTTTCCTAGTGGCGGTAATATTTTGTCGTAAACTTGTATGGCATTTTTTAAATCTAATATCTCTTTTAATCGGCTTCTGCTTTTCATTTTATTCATGATATCACTGCCGTTGAAACATAAAATGGCGGATCATATACTGCCTTCGGAGAGTGAAAAAAAACTTGAATTCGTTTGAATGTCTGCAGTGTTAAAATGCCTGTTTTGTGTATTGATGTTTTGTAGAATGAGTGTTCTAATGAATTGGTTAATCATTTAATTTCTTGTCTTGCCACACAAACATTTAACTGTTCGAACAGCGAAATAAATATAGCTTGAAATACGTAACGCGAGGTGAGCGATCGAATTTATACAAACATTTTGTATTCTCAAAATCTCCACTCTGTTCAAAACTCAGTCTCCTTATTATAACATTCCATATTATAACATACTTTAGGTATGTATAGTTTTCGAATGCTTTCATTATCAATATCTCCAAACTGAAAAAAATAATGGAATACACATCATATCAGTTTAGTAAAAAAACGATATTCACAGATAATAAAGAATTATTTAAAAAAAAAAATGAGAAGTTTGAGCACATTAGAAAAAATAACATGTCAGGTAGAGAAAAGATAAATTTAATAGTACTTAAATATTACACATATGTATTATTATTTACTAGAAAAATCTACTGAAAATAATTGGAACCCCACCCAGTGATATAAAATCTTGGAAATGGAATATTTAAATTTAAAATCACAGACACTAATATGATAAGTTTCAAAATCTTAAAAAAAGAAATAACAATATTCACAGATGAGGTTAGTAAATATCAATATTTTTCCCCCAAAATGACACAATTTGCATTATTTTTTACATTTATATTTAAGAAATGAAGATTTTCTTAAACTAACACTAACCAAATTAAATTTGTCTTTCATAAATCACAGTAAAAGCTCACAGTGACCAATTAATCGAGAGGTTAATTTACACTACATAACTAATTATGGTAATTTAAGAATGCTCATATAAATGGAAGATTTCTTCAATCTCACAATTCACTAGCACTAATAACATGAATTCTGTTGTACTTCTGGTATTATAAAACTTTTCTATACTAGCAGTACATTCACTGATACACATGACTGGCTAAATAAATAATAGCTCAAAAAAAACTAAAAAACATGCTTTCATAGAAAATTCAACTACAAAATAGAAAATATATTTATAATTAAAAAAAGGGTATTAATATATAAGCGTATTGTTTAGTTTTTTTAAAACTCTGTTTTATTTTACATTTTTTTTAGTTTTTTGAGTGTTCAGTAGCATTATGTATCATAAATTATTTATTACTGTACATTCACGCAAATACGACATCTTACAATTTGTTTAGTGAATAAAAGAAGGTGCTCAAATTAATTTATGGTCTTGATTGCTGAAAGTAACTGCTTAAAATATTGAAATGTCATTGGTCTTTGATAAGTGTTAAGGCCAAAATTCAAGTTAACCCAATGCTTTGAACGGGTCAAAATCACTGTCAGTTACATACATACCAACATGAGTATAAAGCTAACAAAAGCATATTAAAAATTAATTGATAAACTTTAGACATTAGATCTCAAAAGAGTATTACTGCTTACTGTCTGTTCACATAACTCAGAATGTTGAATAGTTTATTTTTTTCAAATTTTTTTCTCTGTGGCTGTAAGGTCACTATTTGTATAATTTGGGCACCATTTATGGGTATAAATAAAACTTGTGATAAATCTACAAGGAAAGAAATGATAAAACACTGAGAAGGATTGATAGTACAAAAGGAAAGCCAACCTTTTGCAATACCCAAAGATGATGGTTTTCCACCCTATGAAGCATTTGGCCACATATGAAACTACTTCAAATGTTCCATGTTTACCTAAACAGAGAAAGTCATCTTATTGCCGTAGTTGAAATATTGGTTTTTGGCAAAACAAAATACTTTTAAAGGGTCCAATGAGCTGAGAAAATAATATTTGCATGAATACAACCCTGTAGCAATCGTTTCACACACTATTTGAAGACTTGGTAGGAGAAAAGATACCTGATAGCAAGGAAGGTACCCATGTTGAAATAATGCCAAAGGCAAACTTGGCTTGCACTTGTAAGAAAGAATGAAAACTGGACAGTTAGGTAGTTAAAAAATGTTCTTTTTTCTGAACAGACAAAAATACAAAAATAAACAGGGTATGTTGTGATGGAACATGATATATATGAAGCCCTCCAAATAAAGCATTAACTGTAAGTACACATGAGCTGGCAATTTTAGCTTAAAAAATTGTGAAGGAAACATAAAAATTTGGGGATACTATTCTGGAGACGGTATTGGACTTGTTAAGCTGATAAAAGTAAACAAATATCAATTCCAGTATATAAATATACTGAAAGACACAATGTTACTTTAAACTTCCGGTTATTTGAACATTTCAACGGATTAGTGATCCAAAGCATACAGCATGCATCTTTAAGGAATCTCTTACATTGCAATCAGTTTCTTTCTTAGATTGCCAGCTAACAACCCAGATCTGAACCTAAAAGTGCATCCATGAAGTGAAGTCATTAAACAGTTTTAGAATAACAGCGTGGCAATTTAAGAAAGCTGTATGTTTAGGAGAATGACACTATCTCTCTTGCGAAATGTCAAAAATTGATAGTCAATGCCTCAAATAAACAAAGCATTAATTAAAACTCGTAGACATGCTTACTAACTAAAAAAAAATGTTAAAGTGTATTAAATTGATTTTTTCTTATTACTTCATATTCATGTCAATTTTTAATCTAAGTTTCATAGAGAAAATTCTAGAGCATTTTTAAATCGTTCTTATTTATTTGCTTAGTTTGTCCATTGTTTGAAATTTGGTACTATTCTTTCTTTCTGGTCGTTCCCTCAATGCTGAGGATCGTGACTGTATGTTAATCTTCACCACTCGGTCCGGTTCTGCGCCATCTGTACTATAGAGAATTAATAAACATTGCAAGAACAATAATGTTTTTATACTATATTCCTAACCCAGATTGCACCATTTGTGTGGCTATTCCATAAAATAACTAGGTATTTCTAAGAATCACATCATGATTTAAATAAAAAAGATGTGGAACTTCAGATCTATCCTAATTATATATCCAAATCTATATATTAAAGTAATATTTGTTGCTATGAATAATAATATGAAAATGCTTATGGATTATTTTTTATTTGCTTAAAATCTTTAATCTCTGTGATTCTTTTCTATTAGTTAACTGTTAGTTAATCGCTATATGTATGTCATCAAAATTGTTGGTAATGAAAAAGTATTACTCTGGATTTCATATCTCTTAGTAGATTTCATCTTCTTAATTATTCATTGTATTTTCATTCAATTAATCTTACTGTTCTAAAATCAAGATGTTGTCGATTATTGCACTGTCGATTGCATCTATAATTGAGATGACATAATATGTCAATTACTTATCGTCAATTTGTCAATGTTTTTATTGATTATTACTTTGTTGGTGCAACTAACTAAATAAATAGAATATACTTGAAAATATATACTTATTAATTAAAACTGTGAGATCTTTGACCTTTTGAAACCAAAAATATCTACTAGAAGAATGAGCAAAATTTTTGGACCATTTAAAAAAGCTCATGATAAACTACATTAAATGCAAACATTTTTAAAATATAATAACAATTAATAAACTAAAATCTATCTAATAATTGACCTTTTCTAATGTCAAGGTTGTTATACAATTTCTTTTGTAAGCCTTGACTGTATCATATTTTTTACAAGCTTATAAATTGCCAAGAAGCTGACAGTAAAAAATTGTCATATATACATAGATTGAAGGAGAAGCATAGGGTAATATTTGCAAAGATGCTATATAAATTTCTGCATAGCTTTTTCAGCTGCAAGATTTTGGATATTTTTGAATTCTAAAATTATAATTTTTAAATCAATCAAATAATGTTGATATTAATAGATATCTAAAATAAAATACATAAGAAGCAATTACAATGCTCAATTTGTAGTTTTGTAGTTTACTAACTACTTATGTAATAAAAATGTTAGCATTTGTGTTATTTCAGTGTATTTATTTTCATTTTGATTTAATGTTTTATTATTTCTAGACAATAGAAATATCACTTTTATATATTTTCCATTCATTAAAAGTAAAAAAGAATCAAAATCTCTAAACCCATCATACAAAGCTAACTTTTGTTGCAGTTATGCCTCCTGGTAACAGAAAAGAGAAAAAAAAAGACAACATGGATGAAGAAACTACAACAGTTATCACTAGTAAGCTGCTAATTTTACTTAAAGTTTACTTTTTATTATGTTAAAAGTATCAGTAATTTAATTTGAAGCAAATCCTTTGAAAATTATAAATTATTTGAAGTTCAGTTTTCAAAAATAATTAAGAATGCTCTAATTTACAAAACAAAAAAAGAAAGGATACTAGTAGTAGACAGGGACTTGGCTTGCCTTCTTATATTAACTCTGTCCATGACTGATGATGACCACTTAGATATGTTACAACAGCTCTCTTATTGGTTTCGAAATTTCGTGGCATTGAAAATAACCCACTTAAGCTATTTTCAAAGCTTTACTTTAACATAGTGACTTAAGATAGTTTAAGATACAACACAACTTGGCTATTTCACAAGCTTAAACTTTAACATAGTAATACTGTTCAGTAATAGTCTTTCGTTAATAAGATTGTCACTAGTATGGTGGACTGAAACTGTTTGAGCTTATAGTAAATTTATTAGAGACTGGGATTGGATTAACTCAAAAGCATATTTATTTTAATGACGTAAATAAGTTTTAACTTGTAACCTGTTTAATGTTTGTAAGGGAATATGGTTTACTTGAAATTAAATGCTATAAAAACTACTTTGTCAAAAATGTGTTTTGTGTGATGGCATGATGGTTGGATGGCTTGTCAGTAAAATTCTGTATAGTATGATAAACTATCAGTGAAATAAATTCACACTTCAGTTTACAATTTTTCAATGTACCATCCATCCATTCTACAAAGGTTAGGCCACAAAAGATAGCTTTAAAAAATGAATATTATCCTGTCATGAGCAGTATTTAAAATAATTCCCGATTTCAGTACCAATACCTATTGAAAATTAATCGATTAAATCATACCCGCCCCTCTCTCATTTTAGGAAGTTAGGCAGTCTCGCCTTTAAAAATATCATTAAGAGTTAGTTGTGATCATTATTAATTTAGGCTATAGTCGTTCACTGCTGAACATAGGTTGCCCCCAAGGTTTGCTACAATGACCGGTTATGTTCCCCCCGTCCAACGGTTTCCGCGATCATCATCAGGTCGTCGGTCGACCTTGTGAGTGGACCCTGCCTTGTCAGCATTGCCATTACTCCAATGCAACAGAAACTTGCACCACGTGTGCATGTGTAGGCGATACGATTTATGGCCTTATCGACAGATTTACTGTGATTTCCTCTGCCCGTCTACTGCTATGAAAATATAATTCGATTTACAAGTTACATAATACCTCAGTAGACAGAAACAAGATTTGCGTTTGTTTCATTGTGCTTTTTTTGTTGTAAAAATTTTAAATGTCGCCACCGAAAATGAACGTGTAAGTAAATAAACAAAACTAATATTGTTTTGTCATCATTGGACAATGCTTTATACGAATTTAATTAAAATGTCAAAATAAGTATTATTTTTGAGGCTCATTTTAAATTATGGCATTGATACACTATTTCTCAAATTATCCACCATTTTAACTTTTTATCAAAATTTATCAATATTATAAAATGAATGTTTGTATGTTGTTCTCAATGAGCCCCTAAAACATCCGATTATTATCAAACCTGGTGTGGTTGTTCTTAGCACTCATGGGAAGACTTTTGTCATAGTACAAGCAACATTAGGTACCTAGATATCGCGTGAATAATTTCAAGAAATTGTTGTTTTTCATACAGTTAGCGATGTCACTGCAGCACATGACCGGGTTTCACTAGTAATTAAGTTAAACAGTCGATCAAGCTGTAAAAAAAACGAAATCAACCTCGTATTTTCCAAATTAAGTTGTAAGGACAATACGTATGCGCTTTTAAACACTATCATATAATATCGAGCGCTTATCATGTGAAATATCAAAACGACATGCGTGATAATGAGTCTTCTTGAAACCATGAAAACTGAAGGCATGTTTTATTGATGGTATGACGATAAAATGGTTGTGTATTGTCCTATTCCACCTTATTAGTCTTAATTTCGGTTTTATTTGTAGTATTAAATTAAAATTCCCCGTGTTTGTAGGAAACGATCACTTCGCTATCCGCTATCGGGTCATTTTCAGGCGAACTATCGTTAGCATGATCATCTTATAGCGCTCATTTGATTATTAATATCTATTATTGTGACAGTGGAAAGTGAAGACGAACCTGACACAGGGGTGACATACTTCGTAGACGAAGAAGGCAGGTACTATTACCAGCCCACTGGGAATAATCAGGACCTGGTTCCGCTGCAGACTGAAGCAACGGAAACCACAAATAAAGACGTAAGTACAAGCAACACTTTTTTAGTACGTTTATTTAGGTATTATAGTAGTATAGTAAGTTTTGATGCAATAATTCTCTACCGGTATTAGCTATGACACTTTTCTTTGCCCAAAATATCTGAAGATTTATAATACAGATTTTGGAGCCCAGTACCGACCCCTGGCTCTCTCAAAGGTTTTACTTGGTAGTATTTGTAATTGTTTAGTTTTTTTTTATTGCTTAGATTGGTGGACGAGCTCACAGCCCACCTGGTGTTAAGTGGTTACTGGAGCCCATAGACATCCACAACGTAAATGCGCCACCCACCTTGAGATATAAGTTCTAAGGTCTCAGTATAATTACAATTACTTGATACGGTCCTGTCGTGCAACTTAAGCTGTGAGTGTGTTATCTTTATTAAAGTAGCTGTACCCGTCCGCTTCGCTGGGCATTTAAAATTAACGTTGTTATTTCTCACCCCCACAACGATTCTCATTATTAACGCCCCCGCAACTGGTGTAGGGAGTCCAACACTCAAATAAATATTAGCCTATCCATTAAGTACGTGTATTTTCTACATGGATGCCAAGTTTCAAGTCAATCGGATGCATGGTTCAGTAGTTATAACGGAACATCCGTAAAAACCACTGTAGATTTATATATTAACTAGCTGACCCGGCAAACGTTGTGTTGCCTTAAATAAGATTTCTAGAGAAATTCTACTGTAGAAAAAAAACCTCATTTAACCACATAATACCTCAATATAAACAAAAAAAAAATCCAAAAAATTAAAATAAAAAATTAATGTTTGGGGTGGACAACCCTTTTCACTTAGGGGTATGAAAAATAGATAGTGTTTTTTTTTTGTCAGGAGGAAATCGCCGGACTCGAACCGACTAAAACCTCCTGTCGCTCATGAGACAGAACTCATGTAAAGGCAAGGGGAGGAGAGTGAAGCGTTTAGTGCGGAGCACATCTCTCCCATCACCCTCCCCCTCGGGACGCCGGGCCAGCGATCGTCGGCGCCACGACCACCAGCCCTCTCGGTCGGCAGGCTGTCCGAAGCCCGCCTAGATGGCGCCGGTTTGAATTGGTTATCCTACGAAATACCCCGCTGGGTCAGAACCAGCGTGGGTCGAGGAGTCGAACCGACTAAAACCTCCTGTCGCTCATGAGACAGAACTCATGAAAAGGCAAGGGGAGGAGAGTGAAGCGTTTAGTGCGGAGCACATCTCTCCCATCACCCTCCCCCTCGGGACGCCGGGCCAGCGATCGTCGGCGCCACGACCACCAGCCCTCTCGGTCGGCAGGCTGTCCGAAGCCCGCCTAGATGGCGCCGGTTTGAATTGGTTATCCTACGAAATACCCCGCTGGGTCAGAACCAGCGTGGGTCGAGGATAGCCGGCCTTCCATCACCCGGATGCTCTTGCGTAAAACGCGTGCAGAGCCGCTTGCACAGATAGTAGCCGATTCTCAGACCTACTGAACATACTATTGATACACAAATAAAACCAAAAAAACATGGCTGAAAAATGTATAGTAAATGCTCTCAAATATATTAAGTGTATAATCTATGATGTATAGTGAGTAAGTAAGACAGAAGACCGGCTTCGTCCTCATCCCTACTACGTGATGTTTGCTGGATGAGTGGTGACACCTAGCGGGGATAGCTGATCGATTGATAGTTGATCAGTAGTCGACCGGCGAGGGCGGCAGATCAAATTCAATTTAATAAAAGAACGAATTTAATTAAAAGAACTTGAAATTATAAACTCTGAATAAGAATTTATCGTACTACAATTATTATATTTGATTGCCATCTTGCAACCTTATTGCGGATCTGTGCATAGAATAAAAAAATATTAATCGGGATGGAAAAATAGGGGTTGAACGTATAAGAGTGAAAATTTGAGTAATATGTTTTTATTTATTTTAAGTCATGGCAAAACAAAATAAAAAACTTGCCCAAAAAATTTAAGTTTATAATTAACAAATAAAAAATAGGGGTTGATCATAGAGGGATGAAAAATTGAGAGTAACATCAGATTTTTTATTTTAAATCATGATAAAATAAAAATAAAAATGAGAATCTTGCCCAAAAATTTTAAAGTTTTTAATTAGCAAATAAAAAATAAAGGTTGATCGTAGAAGGGTGAAAATTGAGGATTGTATGTATTTTTGTATGTTGTATCATAAAAAAATAGAAATTAAAAATTTTGTCTAAAAATTAAAAAAAAAAATTTAGAGGTGGACTACCCCTAACATTTAGGGGGATGAAAAATAGATGTTGGCCGATTCTCATAGATACCAGATAAGCACAAAAAATTTCATCAAAATCGGTCAAGCCGTTTCGGAGGAGTATGGCTACGAAAACTGTGACACGAGAATTTTATATATTAGATACAGATGTTTATTTTGGTGAGGCGAGTTATGCGGACGGACGCATGAGTAGCTATCCTTGTTCTTCTGCATTTGAGTGTTTGGTCTGAAACATAAGCAGGCTTGTATTTCGAATGCACGTCTTAAGATGAGTAGGGGCCATCACGTTATGGTGTCTGGGCTTCGGTCCCCCTCAACGGCGGTTGGATTCTGAGCCACTTACACCTAGCTAAATTGCTCTGTACCGAAATGTCTTTTACAGTAATTTCTTTTGTCATGTATATTATGCAAAACAACTGAGCTCAGATTATACTGAAAGTTATTTATTATCTTAACTTAAAATTGTCAGTGGGCTAGTGTGTGATAATTTTATTCGATTAAACTGTAACCAAAAATAAAACTAGTTGAATTGGATTCTAATAAAAGGAATAAGCACGGAACTGGTCTGCCATCGTTTCCAATAAATAAAAAATACCAGTAATCTCTGAACTCATGTGACATGATATAAAGATTTTTATTTTTTGTTTCCATTTCAACATCAAGTCTTATTAGTAGCCCATTTTCAAATGTTAATTAGTCTTTTTGTCATAAATATTATTTATATTTGAGCTTGATAAGCTTCAGAGGCTTGCTATTACTACTGCGCTCGCTGTCGCTGTAGTGCCCGAAGTGATTCTTGGCCTCCGACAATAAATAAACATCGTCATTCGTCTGGCGTTTATTTTATTATTATTTGTGGTCATAGGTTAACAAAGATGGTGCTTAATATTAATAAAGGTATCAATCAGTATGTCCTGCTAGTAAAGCGTACAAATATTAGGTTTAAGTATAATCTACATAAATGCGTTGCGTAAAACCTTGGCACTTGGAGCTGTTCACTCGCTTCACAGCCTAACCCTGATCTACCTGCACTAAATGCCCGAACCACTTGCGCCTTCATTTCCCCCAGAATATTTGGCTCAACAAGAAGCTCCTCTACATCTTTGTTGTTCCGGAACCGGTGTCAGTAACTTCCTCACTTTTTTCCTCCTTTCTCTCAGTTACGAAAATTTTTATCTCTTCTTTCTCTGAAAGCGTCTATGCTTCGCATCCATACAATACGATGGGTCTGAGAGTCTTGTATATCCGAATCTTGATGCGCCTACTTAACTTCGAAGAGAGAACCAAATGTAAGGCTGCACTGTATATAAGAAAATTTTGTGTACGAATTTAAATTTCATTGGTGTCTGTTACATTGCAACCAAGGTACCGGAATTTGGTCATGCCTTTGTACTTTGTATTTCCCACAACTAGATCTTCTCGACTTATGTTTTTCGAGTATATCGACCCATGTAAAGATACTCCGTCTTTTCGTGAGTCACACGAAGGCCAATCCGATAGGCCTTCTGTCGGACGACGTTGAATGCTATAACGTGCTGCTGCCTTTCTTCTAGTAGAACAAGGTCAAGGGCATACCCTATCACCTAATGCTGTCCCTTGAGCCGCGTTCCGCCGTTAAGTATGTAAAGGGGACGGCCCATTTCAGGCCCAAAGCGGACAATAGATTAGAGAAAAAATACTCAGTGCATTAATTTTGTCATAAATAAATATGCATTTACTTTCTTCCAAATAAGCGCCACTACAGTTTACAATAAGTAGTTTAAAAAAAGTAACTCTATTGAAAAAAACAAGAATCTTATTTTTGCGGGAAAAATATTGCCAGCATCAAAACCTTTTACGTATTAAGTAAACATTTTAAGTATATAAAAAAAACATATAAATAAATCATTTTAAATATTATCATTAATCAATCGATTTTAATCGATTTTAAGCACATAAAATAACATCAAAGACATACCCTTACCTATACCATTGGACTTTAACTTGTTACTATACTTGAGACCTTAGAACTTATATCTCAAGGTGGGTGGCGCATTTACGTTGTAGATGTTTGTGGGCTCCAGTAACCACTTAACACCAGGGTGGCTGTGAGATCGTCCACCCATCTAAGCCATAAAAAAAAAACTTAACTTGTATTGTTATTTAAATATGTACAACTAAAACAAAACATAAAAAATAAAATATGATGTGTACTCGTAAAAAAAAGAGTAAGAAATAAATCAAATATCGGTTATTTAAAAAAATGATCGATATATGAATTTCATGTAATTATTTTTCTTTATACTGACAACACTGATTTTAATCTGACTGACACTTCGCTTGCTGCTTGTGCTTGCGTTCAAAATGGATGTGTTTTGATTTTTCTTCGATTTATTTTGCTTTTATCAATAACGTTTCATACTACGGCTGAAAACCATTGTGTGAATTGTGGTTTTAACCTGACCGAGATTTAAAACCGTGTATATGCTCTCCTATTTTTAGATGATTTACTAATTGTGTATGAAGATGAAGAAAATATAGATATTTAAAGAAGTATGTGTGTTTTTTATACCCTAAAAACTACAATTGGATAAAAATGCATTAGGAACATCTTAAACATTAAAAAAAGAAAAGTTCTTGAGGAATTTATATAGAAAATTAACCTCAAAACGAGTTTTTTATTTTTATTATATTTTTTATAATAGTGGCGTCAATTTCAATATATTTTTTAGATATCTAATACATTTAATAATTTGAATCAGTCCATTTTTATAGTAATATTTGATGTCCACCTTGGGCCGAGCACACTATGGAGAGTGGGCATTCCCCTTTCCGTGTGTGACGTATTCAAGTGGTTGGTTGAACAGCATTAGTGACAGAGCGTCCCTAGGCCCGAGTCCAGTCAGTTTATTGTTAAAAACTAGTGGTACCCCGGTACTCGGAATTCGACTATAATTAACTGAAATTATAAATTTGTACACTATGTATTATGATTCTATTGTCGGAGACTATTATACTTCTATAATCACAGATTTCGCCAAGACTATGTACACTTTAGACAAAATTAAATATTAAATAAAGACAACCTTTTCTGAATTTGACCACAGACTCTAAGCAATAAGAAAAGTTTGACAATAAACAAATAGTATGCATGTGTGTGTGTGTGTCAAATACATGGTAGTGTGTGTAATGTTTTCATTGATTGATTTAATGTATTTTTTAAGCATAAATTAAAAATATATTATCATTATGCACTACTTCTCTATATTGTCTATAAGTGTGGGAAATTTCATACTCCTCCGTTCGCGCAATTTTCGTAAAAAGGGGTACAAAGTTTTTGCTTCACGTATTATTAATATATATTGTTGTTTGTTGACAGTCGATTAGCGATGCTGCTGAAGATGTGCTGATGAGCAACGAATCCGAACAATACCAGACCGTGACTCTTGTTCCGTCAGAGAACAGCGGCGGTGAAGTCAGCTACGTCCTCGTGGTGCAAGAAGAGACTAAACCTATCAACCTTGATATCAAAGTCGATCAGGTAAGTTTTTATTGAGTTTTAAACTGATACCGTCAATTTAATTGACTACATTTAGCAAATTGAAGTAGTAATTGGTTAAACAAATTGAGCTGGAGGAAACAAGTAAGGGCCAACAAGAAGTACTTGAGAAGAACTGAAAACGAAAATCAATGTTTCGTTAATTGGAAGCAGTCATTTATTTCGAATTCATGCTCTCGATAACAAGAATGCGGTCTGGATGCCTATTAACTCGTTTATCTGTAACATAAAAAACAAATCATACCGATTACATACGTGATAAATAATTCAATATATCCAATTAATAATATCTCATTATGACAAATAATAATTTATCTCAAATGATTTCCTGTTGTTGCCTGCAGAGAAAACCAATAGGGTGAATCTAATTAGAAGTGTGACCATTCGTACATCCCTATCGCCCACCTTTGTTACAAAAATCCTTAGCACTCACTTTTGTAACGAAATAAAACTAATGAAGGTAGACAAGATCATTGTCGTAATTAACTTCTTCACGGAAGTATCACATAGCGTACGAGCGTAAAATACGATAGAATCGAAAAAACAATATTAGTCTGTGTGAAATGATATCAAAATTATTTTCCTCTTATCATAAAACATTATACAAATATTTCGGAGTCGAGAAGAAGAGTCCTACTCTCTTTGATTGGCCATCAGGATGCATTATTTTATAATAGTCTTTCAGTTTTAATAGCAATGTTGCGTTACTGTTCAACCCTGTGGAACAGCGGTATTCAAAAGTATTGCCAATAGTTTCGTAACAAATGATCAAAGTGCAATACGAAATTAAATGTATTTTAGGTAAATAAATAATCGGGAACAAATCACACACGGTCACCTGTGTGCTTAGTGCGAGTTCGTTAACGTTCTAGATAGCGTAAAAGTTAACTCAAATTTGTATGGAGTTGGAACGTTTGCCTATGTTTGCCGCTAGGGGCGCTGTTTCGAAGTTTTACGTTAAAAAACTCGCACCAAGCACACTGGTCCTAAATTAGTAATCGCTGTCTTATGGAAACTATAGTGACGGGTAGTAATACATATTTAAATATTTAAAAATATATTGTGTATTCAGTCGACAAACGTCCACGCCTTAGGTAGCTTATTACATGTATATATTAAAATATATACATATAGATATTAAAAACCGAGACAAAAGCAAACTTGTTTGTCGAATATCTCCACGATGTGGGAATGTATACCAGTGCTGATGATGTAAAAAAAGCGTTGTAGAGAGCTAAAATAAATTAATGATTGCATGGTTTTTTTTTCTATGCAAGTTGTGTTCGAATGACGGTTACAATCAGTATTAGTTTTATACACATCGATTTGTATAAATAGATCCAAACAAGTTTCGAAAGCCTCGTTGGTCTAGTGGTGCCATATATGTCGGGTTTGATACTTGATGAGAACGTCTCTTTGTTAAAGAGTTTTGATATTAATTAAATATTAATCTGTGTTTCCGGTAACTATAATATAAGAAAATCGCTAGCTATAAGTCCTTGAATGTGGTATGCGTGAAATGTGTAAAGTTTATTTGTAAAATGTAGGATGAAGAAAAGGTCTCCGAAGACGTGTATAACTTTGAAGAGGAGGAGATTGAGGCCGACGTTACCGACGAAGAAGACGAAAGCGAAGCAAAGAAAGCTCAACCGCAGACGAAGAAGGGAAAGTTCTTACGTCCATGTTTCACGTGCAATTTTTGTTCGTATTCAAGCCACAGGCGGTGAGTGTTTTGAGTATATTCCTTAAATCAAACTGACGCTGCAATTCGTTTTCAAAGTAGCTTCACTATCCGTATTTGTGACAATTTTAAATCAAGTCAATTCTCTTTTTTTTTATTGCTTAGATTGGTGGACGAGCTCACAGCCCACCTGGTGTTAAGTGGTTACTGGAGCCCATAGACATCTACAACGTAAATGCGTCACCCACCTTGAGATATAAGTTCTAAGGTCTCAGTATAATTACAACGGCTGTCCCGCCCTTTAAACCGAAGCGCATTACGGCTTTACGTCAGAAATAGGCAGAGTGGTGGTACCTATCCGCGCGGACTCGCAAGAAGTTCTACCACCAGTAAAAATACTATTTCTTCGCTCACTCCCTTCTTACACATATCGTCATTCACGCAATCCATCCATTTTTTCTTAGTCTTAGTCTACCTCTTCCTCTATATCAGTTCTTATCTATATTAATCTATAAATAGGTAAAGGTAAAAAAAATTGTTAAGCGTCATTTTCACTTCTGTTTGTCAAGAAATGTATTATACATGGTCACAGTGCCTAACCACATTAATAACCAGACAGTCTTGTGCCACATAATACATTCATCTGTGATTTTGACAAGCAAACATGAAATTGGTTACCTATTTTCTATGATTTCATATAGAACAACATTTTGAACCTATCGAATTTATCTAGAATAATCACTGACCCGTAGCAATAATAGCGTAAACAAATGAACAAATCCAATAACTACTGAGTTACTACTGAGTCCAATAACTACTGATAAAAACCTTTCTCAGAATGGGGATACCTTAGATGCAAAGTTATATTTAAAACATTCAATAATTATATTATTATGAACACTCAGAATTAGTTAAAGTAGTAATCTAACCAAATCATTGTACTGTTGTATTATTATGTTTGGTATTCAATTTAAAGAATAATATATTATAAAATGTTGTGAAATATGTAGTTTCGAAATTATGTACGTATGAGTTTGGAAAAATTCGAAGATATTCATCACTAAAATGACGTAATTGTTGATTTCTACAATAGTAATAGAATAATGAAACGCTTTTAAGGATAAAATAACTTTAGTTTCTGAATTGATTTGTTTTTTTTTCTAGATTTGTTTTTTCTTTTAACATAAAGCTTTAATATTTGAATAGTAATGGCGAACATATATTTTTTTAATACGTGTGCAGTTTAGCCATATCAGTACTAAGTGTGAAGGTAGAGAGGAGAAGCAATCATGTCAGAACTATGTGGGATGGTAGAGAGAAGCAACTTTACGTCTAAAATTGTTAGTTGTAATTATTCAAAGGTATACAAGATGTTAATAAAAAAAATATTTGCTACCCAGATATCTGCTTCTTCGCCACATGAAATCTCACTCTGAAGATCGTCCCCATAAGTGTGGTGTGTGCGAGCGCGGCTTCAAGACAATTGCATCGCTTCAGAACCATCTCAATATGCATAATGGAGTGAAACCTCATGTTTGCAAATTTTGCAACAGCCCCTTTACTACCTCAGGTAAGTTTGTTTTAACTTTCTTTAGAATGGTTTCTTTCTTTGGTTAGTAAACATAAAAGTCAGAACGTAACAGAAAATTACACTGCTAAACAGTTATGACAAACATTCATTTATGTTTAATATTAGAAAAACAATTGTTTAATTGAATATGTAATTTCGAAAAGGGAACATGTCGCATATTTTGTCAAATACGTTTTTTCATACACATGTAGTTTTGAGGCTTACCTACACCCATTTTATAATAATTCCAGTAATTTTCAATTGCTACTTAACACTAAAATATATCTCAAAAGTTTATATTTTAAAATTTACACTGCTTTAGAAAATAATCAGTTTTTTTCATTTCCTGAACATTTTACATTTTCAGAGATGTGCCTTTTTCGAAATTGCATATACAATTAATGTTTACTTGTTTCAGAAATTGGTGTTTATGAGTAGAAAAAGTTTGTAATGTATATATGTTATTGGTTTTATCAGGCGAGCTGGTCCGTCATGTACGCTACAAGCACACACACGAAAAACCTCACAAATGTACGGAGTGCGACTACGCTTCGGTCGAACTTTCGAAGCTGCGTAGGCACGTGCGTTGTCATACTGGAGAGAGACCTTACCAGGTAACGCAAAAATTACACATTACTCTATCAATTTATTTATCGTATTACATTACTATATCAATTACGAAATTTTTAAATCAAATTTTTTGGAGTGAAGACAAAACAGCTAGTGATTTCTGATATCGTCGTTGTCAAATCAAAATCTGCTATGTGCACTTTTTGAGATTTTTACTTTTTGACCTTTTCGTATAGTTCACAGTCCTATCTACCGTATAAAAAAACTGTTATGTGTCTATAGCTTTAATATTTATCTATAACTTTCATTTGATGTAGTTCTTAAAAATTCACCTTCATATAAAAAATTATACGAAAATGTTTTTACTCGTTAATTCAAAATAGAGTTTTGCACATAGCAGATTTTGGTTTGACAGTGACGATATGCTAGCACACAAACAGTCATACTTCAAATTTTATATATAATATTTAGAATGTTTTTGCATGCTGGGGACTGCGGGACTGCTACTGCCGCTTTATATTGCGGGTAGCAATGTATAGTATTTATTTCTTTAGACTATGAATTTCAGTTTAGGCATATAAGCTCAGCAATTAAAAACTAAATTTAAAGAAGCACTTAAATTGGAGATAATCAAAATCGCCAGTGATTGATTAACGGATCTGAAATGAACCATTTATAGAAATCGGAAATTATAGAAACTTATTTTTTCTTCATATATTCAGTGTTTAAATTTATCTATTAATAAATACAAAATTAAATATTCGCCATCGTCTTTTGGTGGCTAGGTATTTGAAAGTATACTGGCATGTTGTTTTAACGTGACAGCCTTGTGGTTACTGTGAACAGCCACCAGAGAATATTAAAATTTACAAATATACGTAAATGCATAATAGTAAAAAAAAACACTCAGGCTTTGGAGCTTTGATGGTAATCCGCAAAAAGTGCGTACTTGACACTGTCGAACTTACGTTTGACGGATTTGTACGATTTCATCTTCTAATATAGATGATGAATTTATCAGATCAGATAATTTCATTAAATATAACATTTCGTCCGTTATCAATGTTGTTATTAATACAAAACTATGGTATGTTCATTATCAGTGTCCACACTGCACGTACGCTTCACCGGACACTTTCAAGCTGAAACGCCATCTCCGTACTCACACTGGTGAAAAACCGTACAAATGTGAACACTGCAACATGTGCTTCACACAATCAAATTCTCTTAAAGCTCATAAGCTTATTCATAATGGTAAGTAATATTTTTTTAAATATTTAACCAGTCCATAAATTCTTTCAAGCTTATTAAAGTCAAAACTCAACACCGTTGTGATTGGAAGTTCGATGAAATGAAAATATATTATAAACATCTTAAGAATTTGATTCGCGAGAGAATTATACAAAATATTTGTCGGAATAAATATTTGCGGTGATTTGTCGAAACAAAAAATAATTAGTCAATCAGTTATAGGTTCGTTTGAAATGTAGGTATAACTGTTATTGTATTTGAATAAATAAATAAAATCCGTAACACACCAATTTAAATTTTTTAACTTCAACAATAACATTTCCATTATACCATTATATTTCCATTGTATATTATTGGTCTTTGAATTTTTCTCTATCATGCTTAGAATAAATAATACCTTCAACAGTGTCTGAAAAGCCGGTCTACGCTTGTGAGTTGTGTCCAACGAAGTGCGGCCGTAAGACTGATCTTCGGATTCATGTGCAGAAACTTCATACATCTGACAAGCCTCTCAAGTGCAAACGATGCGGGAAAACCTTCCCCGACCGTTATTCCTGCAAAATGCACAATAAGGTACTAAGCATATAGACTAATGGATAGTTACACCTTTACAAAACCCGCCAAGACTCACTGACGAAAATAGAAATAGAATTTTTTAAACAATGATTTCAATATTTATGTGTACCATTTATAATCCATATCAATACTTACTTTACAGACTCACAATGGCGAGAAATGTTACAAGTGCGAATTATGCCCATATGCTTCTACAACACTACGTCACCTCAAATCTCACATGCTCAAGCATACTGATGAAAAACCTTTTTCTTGTGACCAATGCGATCAATCTTTCAGGTAAATTGTGATTTGCTAAGAAAACATTATATGTACTTCGAAATTATGGGTAAAAGGCCGGGTATTTATAAACTCATCAAAATGTAATAAATGGTAACAATAATCTCTATCTATATAAATATGGGACAAATAAATATGCATATAATATTTTTTTAAATAAGTTACATCAATAACATGGATTAAAATAAAAACTAAACAATTTAACAGGCAAAAGCAATTGCTACGTCGTCATCAGAACTTGTATCACAATCCTCACTATGTTGCCAAGCCACCAAAGGAGAAAACCCATTCTTGTCATGAATGTAAACGGAATTTTGCCCACAAAGGCAACTTGATTCGGCACCTGGCCACACACGATCCAGAATCTGGCCACCAAGAAAAGTTGCTTGCTCTGAAAATGGGACGTGAAAAGAAAATAAAGTACCTCAATGGACCAATAATCAAAGTAAGTAGTGCTTTTATTTTATGGGATTAATGGGCAGACAAGTTTAAAGGGAATGCAGCCCACCACCTTTAAAAATCTCATTTGTACTGCATAATGGCTTAATGGCCTTGAAACCGTAATCTACCCATGAAGCCTCACTTAACACAAAACTGTAACAATTACGCTAAAACGTAACTGAAATTTCAAGTATTTTACAAATAAAACTCAGTAATAATGATTTTAACCAGCATTAGGGGTCAAAACTAATAGTACTGAGTTTCCTTTTAGATAAGTCTGCTTTTATTGCTGAAAAGTTTAATCTCTGTATGTAATATAGGTGCTGTGCGCTTAGAATGTTTCTGAAATGTTTAAAACATTAGCTGTGCGATATATTAAAACTTCCTACATAGGATAAATTGATAATTCAAGTATAAGATAAATTATGCATTCAGTAGAACAATATTATGTTGCATACTATATGATAACATTTGTTCTTTTACTGCTTATACAGGTTAAAGAGCACTTGTAATTGTAAATTATTTTGAACTAGCGACCCGCCCTCGCTTCGCTTCAGAAATTGTAATTTATCATTGATTTCTCCACTATTTAATGGATGTTATTATACATATAAACCTTCCTCTTCAATCACTATCTATTAAAATAAACCGCATCAAAATACGTTATGTAGTTTTAAAGATTTAAGCGTACATTAGGGACAGAGAAAGCGACTTTGTTTTATACTGTGTAGTGATAAAGATAGAAAACCTGTTTAATTAACTAATCACTTTTGAATTTTGTTTTTGAGTTGAGTTGAATAGAGTTGATTTTAGAATGTGTTTCTGAATGTGAATTTAGAATTTAGATTTTGGAAGTAAACAAAGTAAAGAGAGATTTATGTATTATATTATTAACTAAAGCAGTGCATAGCGAAGACTTAATAGCAATGTTTGCACTTGATCATTGCGATGTTTAACTACAAGCAGCTGAGCGTAGAATGCGTTTATAGTGTATCTATACTAATATTATAATACACAGGAAAGATTGTTTGTTTGTTCGCATTGAATAGGCTCCGAAACTACTGAACCGATTTTAAACATACTGTCACTGTTGGCAAGCCACACTATCCCTGAGTGACATAGGCTGTATAATATTGGCAAAAAATTAGGGTTCCTTACTAAAACTTCAATAATGTAACCCCAGGTGTAAAAAATTGCCTATAATACTCTTTAAATCGCGTGCGCTGCTACCCGAGCGAAGCCGGGGCGGGCTGCTAGCATCATATAAATTATATAAATAGCATAAATAACCAATTAACATTAACGAAATTATTTGAAAAAATTGACATCTATTAGAAGTTTACTTTTGGGAAAGATATTTATTCAGAAATCAGTTATTAAACGCTGCAGAATCTTCCCTGGGCTTTAGAAACTAATTAAATCAAATAAGCTAATTTGATAATGTGTTGTTGATAATGTCTGTCTATTAGTGACATAATTTTTGACACCTTGATTTCATAATTTTAGATATTCCTCTCTGCAAAAAACATAAAAATTCTGTCTCTGTAATACCAAAATATGTAAATACAGAATTTATTGGCTTAGCGATATTTGAGTTATTTTTAATAGCTTTCAAAATAATGTATATGTGCAACCCATGCTCGAAAACAAAGACTATTGTGCTAATTAATTTTTAAAGTGCTATATAGGATAATAGGATAAAATTTACATTTGAAACTCACTTATTTTATAGTTTATAATAACAAACAAAACATATAAATGCAATTCCGAAGATATTAAAAAGTGTTTCTAACCACTCTTATATTATTATATACTAAACTCCAGTAGTAATTTATTTATTTAAATCTACAAACTGTTTTTAGATATGTCCTGTTCTACTAAAAGTCTGCTGAATCTATTGTTTCAGGATAGTGAAAATGACGATCCTGATGTGATCCGTCTTGGACTCGGGACGACCGGTCTGAATTCTAACGATCTGAAACGAGGCGAGCTGGTAACCGTCGCTGACGGTGAAGGACAGCAGTATGTGGTGCTCGAGGTTATACAAATGGAAGATGGATCCGAGCAACAAATTGCTGTTATAACCCCTGATTATCTTGAAGAGGAAGATGAAGCAGGTGATTATTGATATAACAGCTTTTTATGTTGTACTTACTCGATCCCCATAGATAATACAAGGTTAACATTGCCTCCCAACTGAAAATTGAAAGATTAAACTTTTACATTAGAGTTATGGTTATCCCATTTTAAAAAATGCGCTATTTTTTCACTGCTGAAATATTGTATAGTTTATAACAAATTAAATTAACTTATTTAATTCTTCTAAATTCATTGTTTGTCTGATATTTAAACAGCTAACAGCACTTATTACTGTTATTACTGTTCATTATATTATATAATAAGTATTTAATTATGAGCTTGTATTAATTATATTTAATTTAAATAAATACATATTTAAATTATTTTATTAATTTAACAGAAATGGAAAGTGTAGATTCTGATGATGACAAATCTTCTATAGCACAATCCAGCCAGAAAAGAACCAGGACCATTAAAGTAGAAAACGATGTGGATTCTTGCTTCGGTTTTGATGTATGTTTGCTTATTATTACTTAGAAATACCTATTGAATACTAGTCAAATATGAAAATAAATTAGTTACAATATGTAAATATAAATTAACATTTGTATGTCTTCTCTCTTACTGCACGAACGTTCACGTTTTTAATTTGTGAACTAGACACGAATTTTCAAGAGGAATTTTCATGATCCTGAAAATCTATGAAAATAACTTGTTAAAATTTTGTTTTATAGTTATTTAATATTTTCAAAATTGTGAGTTCTTCACATAAGGTAACTTAATGTAAAATTGACAGGAAGAGGACGAAGATGAGGAGGAGGGTGAAGATGAAATCGAAAATGAGGAATACAAGGAAGTGGTGCTGCGCATAGTTTAAAACTATTTGTTACGGGTCTCCAACAGGCGTTGTGCGAAGCGTGCGCAGGTTTTGGGATCTGGCGCTAGAGCAGGCTTAGATCCGAATACTATAGTTTAATTAAATTTACGTCAAATTTTGGGTATGAAGATAATCAATCACCTTTAATAATTACAAAAAAAAAATGTTTACTGATTTGTTAGTAATTAAGAACTGTAAGTGATTTTAATCCTGAATGTTTGTTTATAATTAATTATGTGCATACTATCTCATAGTATATATTTAAATATATTGAACTGTTAGTACTAGTAGGTTATTAAAGAAATATATATTATGCATGTATATTTATTTATACATCTTATATTCGCAGATGTGGTAAGCTTAATAGGACTTGTAGCATTTTAATAGTAATAGGTTTGTTGTCATTGGATAGTGTGTAGATCTCGAAAATTAGTCTTGCTGTGTACTTTGATGTACTTTGTTTTTATTTAAAATTAATAATAACGTTTTAAATTTAGATATTTGATTAAATAAATGTATTCATACTCTTTGTGTAATAATATGGTTTTGCCATAAAAGTAAGTCGGAACATTAACCATATTCGTCTAATTAATTTTGGAAAAGAAGAAAAATGAATCAAATTACTGGTTGTATAAAAATGTACGATAATAGTGTTAACTAAATGAATAGGTGAAGACACATTACTAAGCAAATATTATTGTAAAAAAAAGATAATGTAAGTAATCTTATTTAAGAAATAAGTAATTAAAACTTTCATTTATTACAATATGTTTAGTAATATACCAATAATTAATTTTCCTATAATACTGTTAAGTTTAAAGCTATTTCATTTGACACCTTGTTTCTATGGATATATTCATGATCATATGAGAAAACTAACTGTACCCGTCCGCTTCGCTGGGCATTTAAAATTAACATTATTATTTCTCACCCCCACAAAGATTCTCATCATTAACGCCCTCGCAACTGGTGTAGGGAGTCTAACACTCATATAAACATTAGCCTATTCATTAAGTACATGTATTTTCTACATGGATACCAAGTTTCAAGTCAATCAGATGCATGGTTCAGTAGTTATAACGGAACATCCGTAAACACCACTGTAGATTTATATATTGGTATAGATTAGGAAGTTAGTGACCTATGCATCTACACGTATAGAATACCACGGAGCTTGAACAAAGCAGAGCTAGACGATGTCTCATGTCCAAAGTATACATATTAAATTTCTAGAAATTTCCTCACTAATGAAATAAAGGATGAACAGTTGTATATGTATAGAAGCTCGTCATATTCAACGTAAGAAGCACGTTATTTCATATACTTGCTTCGGGTTAAAAATAAATTGTATTCATGTAAGAGGGTGCTTTCAAAATTATATACCCCTAATTTATTTCAAGTCAAAATCACTTTCGAAGATAGAAGTATAAAATTCAAAATTAAAGTTTAAGAATACATAATATATTATAAATGTTAGTACTTCGTTACTAGTATACTAGTACGTATATACTATATAAATAATATACTATAATTTAGTTTATAATAATGGTCAGTATCCTGATTCATCCGTGTAAAGTTACGACGGGTTATTAATTAATCTGAATTGAAATTGTATTAATCTTTCCTTAAGTCTATCTCATTTCTTTTTGACTGTTAACTGCGTGACACGGAAATACTTATTAATTATTCAATAGGATTATGACAAATTGACATTTTTTTAAATCGACGTATTTAAATATTTGGGAACTGATTTATTGAGACTAATCTTAAAATAGAAACATTTATTTTGGTATAGTAATTACCAGAACAATTTTTATTCTATTATTTATTAAGAATGCAAACATAAAATAATAAAAAAATGAAATATTACTTTTTTTTAAAGTATAATAACAATCATTCATTTAAATATTCACGTATTTTACGTTTTACGCACAAAATAAAAAGTTCTGCAAAATCGCACTTATTGTAAATTTTAAGCTTTATCTTCCAATAGAACATACATAGCTCTGCAGAGACACCATAAATAAAATAGTTTTAGTTTTTGAATTTAGCAGATACAATAAATACATATTGACTGATATACCTACATGTATCATAAGCCGTCAATTTTCAAATTCGTCAAACAAATTCTTAACAAAAAGTCGCCGGAAATATTCCCCCTCAAGGCCCATCAATAACTGCTTAAATTTCCGGTTTGTTTTAGCGAATTTATATTCTTTTTGCAATACAACTATCTACATACAATTATTCATCATAAAGCCCGTTGTTTTTAAAAATCTCTACTTCAGTAGTCACTATCCAAATTACTATATTGATTACGTTCCGTTCGCTTATTTGATATATTTAACATCACCGTTCTCGAACTTTCTGTAATATTCTAGTTTTATGTCGATCATAATAGGAATATTTAAACAGAATTCGGAACCTGTCTCAATACGGACAAAATACTGAAACTTTAAAACCACGTAAAGAGCCTGAATTCAAATTATTTTACATATACAAAATGTTTGTTTTATTACAAATAAAATAATTTTGAAATGTTAGGGACTTACGATATTGAATCTAAACAATGACGTCACTCGCCGCTCATCTTTCCTTTAAATTATAAGACTAGCGTATGGTAGCTTTGTGGCTTAGTATTTATTATAAGGTGAAGCAAAATGTTAGTAGTAACACCCAAAAAGAGTTTAAATTGCGTATTATAGCTATCGTGCATGTTTTAAATAACTAAATCTCGTAGTTCACGGTGAAGGAATAACATCGTGTTAAAAACAAAATCCGCAAATGTTGATATTTGCGTAATTCCCGACGGCAGCGCTCCATTGCTCTGGTTTCATCGGCTTTTCATGTCGTCTTCAATTCGGATAAATAAAAATCTGCATTTAAAAAATGCATTATATTTCGTTATGTATCGCGATCAGTGCGGTTGGCATATTATTAACAAATTGTTTAATGAGCACATAGTGAAACTTCGAACCGAGTAAAATCGAACTATTGTTTCCTAAAATGAATACGATTATCGGGTGAATAATTAAATGTAATTGATCTTTTTATTTATTGCTTAGATGGGTGAACGAGCTCACAGCCCACCTGGTGTTAAGTGGTTACTGGAGCCTTACTAAGGCCCATAGACATCTATATGGTAAATGCGCCACCCACCTTGAGATATAAGTTCTAAGATCTCTGTATAGTTACAACGGCTGCCCCACACTTCAAACCGAAATGCATTACTGCTTCTCAGCAGAAATAGGCAGGGTGGTGGTATCTACCCGCGCGGACTCACCCGAGGTCCTACCACCAGTAAAAACTACGCTGAAGTAAAAACCGTAATCCAGGGTAAAAAAAAAACATTACACTGGATAACGGTTTCCCGGAGCAGTGGGGACTGCCGTCAGGCGTCATGTTGGGCGGCAGCATCAACATCGCTATAAATGTTCAGCGGTTATCACTTACCATCTGGTGGGCCGCTGGCATTTCCGCCTGATCATGCAAAAAAAAAAACTTCGAAAATATATGCCCGTAAAGGTAAGAAGACGAATTTCGTATTTCAATGATTAATTTCATTGAAATGCAATCTTATTTAAGGTTAATGCTAATTTAGATTCCTAATAATCTTAGGATATAATATATGTAATCTGTCTATCCGTTATCCTGGGCTACCACGCTGGTTGTACGTCTTGTAGAATGAACATACATTTGGTTAGTTGCGAGGTTTGAAAACTTATCTTAGATTAAAGGATAGATAGGATATACAAATCTAGTTATATTAATTCGTATATAATATTAGTAGAAAAGCGATTATTTCAGTATGCTAAATCATAATGATCGGTGTTGCCAACATTAAAATGATTAATAACAAACAATAAAATATAACTAATTTAATAATGTAATAAATAATACATGCGTATATTTAAAATATCTTAATTAAATTATATCAATATATAAGTTAGATTCCTGAAATATTATTATGCTTGATAAGAAAAATTTTGTAGACAATTTTCAATATTGACATCCTTTTTTTCAACTGCCCATAAAATGTATGTATTGTGAATATTTTTTTGTTATAACGAGATGTGTTTTCACTATCAATTTAATTATATATTATTGCACTTTCATGTTACATATTATGTGGTTGGTGTAGTTTTAAAAATTACGTTTAAGGTTGTCTTGTATTGTAGAATTAATTTTAGTTGGTAACCGATAGTGTTGTAACTATTTGTATGTTTTAAATACAATTTTTAGTAAATTCAATTTCAAATTTCTTAGTAAGTAGTAGTAATATTACAGAACAACAAAAAGAATTTTCTTATAATACAAGCAGTCTTTATAAATCGTGTAATATTTTGTTTATTATGTTAACTTCGATAAATACATATATGTACTAGATTATGGTCACAGTAATTGAAACATTGAATACAAGCTTAGTAAAATTATGACATAATCAAAATAGTTCACCTAAGGAATAATTGTCTGTTATACTTATAAAGTGTTTGATTTGTTTTTGAGAAATCGTCGAGGGAGACTTGAAATTTTAATATGTACTTAAAAATGAATAGAAGAATGATACATCAAGATAGCATTTTATTTAAATTGTCTCGGTCGACACTAATATTCTCACTGTTTTTGGAGATGAAAAACTAATTTTTTTTTTTTTTGCTAAGATTGTTGGACGAGCTCACAGCCCACCCGGTGTTAAGTGGTTACTGGAGCCCATAGACATCCACAACGTAAATGCGCCACCCACCTTGAGATATAAGTTCTAAGGTCTCAAGTATAGTTACAACGGCTGCCCCACCCTTCAAACCGAAACGCATTACTGCTTCACGGCAGAAATAGACAGGGTGGCGGTTCCTACCCGCGCGGACTCACAAGAGGTCCTACCACCACCAATGTTAATTAACTTCCTAGCTTTTTGATCTGTGGTCAGCCCTCCTGTTACCTTTATGTCATTTCTGGTGGTTTTGTGTCGTATATATAACGATCAATATATAATTATTATTGGTATTAATTGCACAGAAGAGACCTTTTTTTATTCAAGATTTTCTCTAATATTGAATACGTACCAAAAGTACTTGAATTCGTCTATTTTAAACGTATCATAGATTAGGATGTTAAAGACGTCTTGGGTGTTGCAGTTGCGATCAGAGAAACAGCAATAAAGCTATCTTCCTCTAAAGCCTTATATACAATACCTATAGATTATTTTGGGTTCTCAGCAGCGACTGCCCGCATTTTAATGGTTATGAAGCCGGTTTTCGCAGGTCTTTTGTGATTGGTGATTGTGTCCGTAACAAAGAACCATGAGCACAGAGCTGATTCTTGCTGAAACCCAGTAACGTAAAATAAATATTTCTTCCTGATTATTTTTAGTTTTTTAACTTAAAAATAAAATGAAAAACCCTGTTTAAGTGATATTGCCACAGTTATTATTTTATATTATGTTGAATATAAATTATATAATGACATAAACAATCGAATTTTTACTGGCGGTAGGACCTCATGTGAGTCCGCCCGGGTAGGTACCACTAACCCACCTATTTCTGCCGCAAAGCAGTAATGCGTTTCGGCTTGAAGGGTGGGGCAGCCGTTGTACTGTTAAAAGTGAGACCTTACAACTCGTGTCTCAAGGTGGGTGGCGCATTTACTTTGTAAATGTTTATGGGTTCCAGTAACCACTCAACACCAGGTGGGCTGTGTGCTCGTCCACCCATCTAAGCAAAAAATAAATAATTTGAACCTCTTTGTTAACAAGCCTGTTTCTCCTTTCACTGTACAATGTGAGCTCATCGCCATCAATAATTAATATGTTGGAGTCCATTTTGCAAAATGAATTTCGTAAGAAACATACATTTCTGGAATATGCTCGACCACAAGGATTTTACACGTATTTAGTTTACACGGCTTCATCTATCGTTCACGCGTACACGTTAGTGACATTACCAGCGCGGTTGCCTTTGTCTTTGTCTACATAAAAT